TATATCCATCTCCAGAGCACAAAGCGACGTCTTTACTACAGAAACTGAACAGTGCATTGTTATGGTTTCTCAAGTGTGGATGAAATTGCGACGAGAATTGCTATGCCAAATTGTTGGGAGGATTGACCCCCTGAATGCTAATTGTCCACGGATTCTTCTATTTCTTTTACACCAATGTCATATGATATTGGCATAAACTGTGACTACCCGAGCACACCCGAGTGATAGTCTAAGGATAACTAACTAAGAGGGGGATATAAAAACTTTTTTGAATAATTAATCTAATTTCAAGCAAGTAAAGATTAAATAGATAAATTCAAATAATAAGCGCAAATATGAAATCGATAAGTAAAAGGGAGAGATGATACAAACGATGTAATTGTGGAAGTTTAATCCAAAGCAATGATTTATGTCCTTCCGATATCAAGCTCTAGGGCACGAGTAAAATCTTTTCACCATGTTGATTGGCTTATGGTGCAATCCAACCCTTTACAACACTTCCGATAATTTATAAACAAGGAGCATTGATCCTTATACAATATTAAGCTTTATGGGATCACAACACGACCCACTATTGAGCTTTAACGGGATCTCAATATGACCCACACTATTAAACTGTATTGGACCTTAATATGATCCACATGGTGACTTACAACAATGAGCACCGATCCTTGTACAATGTTGATCTTTACGGGACTTCAATACGATTCACATTTTATTAAAGTTATTTTACAATGGAATTCCTCTCTTGATAAATAATACTAAAAAGTTACATATTAAGAGAGGATAACACTTCAATAAATAGTAATAAATGATAGTTCAAGTGTTAGATAGAAAACTTTGAGAAAATGAAATAGAAATAAATGCAATATAAGTTCAAAAATCTTTTCAAAATAATCTCTCTTTTAATGAGTGATTATAATAAATTAAGTACCAAAAAATAGATGAGAAACTTTGATGAATAGGATAATTTTACAAGTTTGATTTAATCAATCTAAGTTTTTAATATGAAGTAGTAGGAAAAATATGTATAATGTAAGTTCAAAAATCTTGTTCAAAATATGTCTCTCTTTTATAAGTATTAGAAATAATTAAGTACAAAAAGAAATATAAAAACTTTTGATGAAAATGATGATTAAAGAGCTTGAATCAATGGAAGTTTTTTATATGAAGAAATAAATGAAATGAATGCAAATGTAAGTTTAAAGAAATCTCTCAAAAGATATCTCACTTTGATGTTCTTGAAATATGTTGTATTGAATGCAAGAAGTAGAGGTATTTATAGAATTCAAAACGTCAAAAAAATTTTGAGAGTTCAGATGATTGTTCTAGTCGACCGCCTCTTGTCCGAATGACCAATATAGCCGTTTGTAAAGTAAAACTAGAGGTCAAAACAGTCAAAGTTTGGACCGTTGAAAACTTTCGGTCGACCGCCTCTTTTGACCGGTCGATCGCCTGACAGATTCATTCTTTTTTACGTTTTGACCCTTTTGTTGCTATTCGAAAGTTTTGAAAGGCAAGGACTTTTGAAGAGTATTTTTAACTGACTTTTCAAGATAAAAAAAATATTTTTCAAGTTCAAATATCATTTTTACATTTGATCAAATCA